ACTGAAGATCAACATAGGTAACTAACTTCCCTACATCACAGAGTAAGACTCTACTCCAGCTCTCCAGAGTTGGAGACCTGTTTCTTTCCTCAAAAAAAAGGGGGGGGGGGGGAGTTGGGGGAGCTTAATCACATAATTAATCTCTTGTGTTGTGTTGCTTACTCTTGCATAGCAGTGACCAAATGCCACACAGAAACTTAAGTTCGAAGTTTTAGAGGATTCCACTGGTGACTACTTGACCCTGTGCACTTGCACAAGACATCTCTGTGGAAAGATATGTTCACCTTAAGACAGACAAGAAGCTGAAAGAGAACCCAAGAAGGGGCCAGGCCAAGTGATAGACCCCAAGGACAGGCTCCCACTGACGACTTCTGAGCCCCACATCCTTCTCTGAACCTCCTCCCAATAATGCCATCATATGAATCTTGGAAGGGATCCCTGCATTGATCAGATCAAAGCCCCTGGAAATCAGTCTTCCCATGAGCTGACAACCAAGACCTCAACACATGAGCCCATGGAAACATCACTTATTCAAGTCACAATGCCTTAAAGGAGAAAGAAAGTTTATTTCTTCTACCTGTTTGGCTTTTTGTTTGTTTGTTTGTTTGTTTGTTGTTTATACAAAGTCTTATTATGTACCCCTGGCTGGCCTAGAACTCATAAAGACCTGTTGGCCAGGTGTACATGCCCTTAGTCTCAGTACTTGGGAGGTTGAGGCTGCTGGGTCTCCATGAGTTTGAGGCCAGCCTGGTTTACGTAGTGAGTTCCAGGGCAGCTAAGACTACACAGACCCTGTCTCAGAGAGAGAGAGAGAGAGAGAGAGAGAGAGAGAGAGAGAGAGAGAGATTGGTTGATTTTTACCTGTCCCTGCCTTCTGAGTGCTGCCTTAAATGAGTGTACCACCTGTCCCAGGCACCATCACGTGTTTGTCTTTAGAGAGAACACAAAAAGTCATAGGTAGGATAGGATGACCCAGCCTATGGAGGCTAGACAAGAAAATCAAATCCATTTCAAAGAACTAGAGACAGACAGTGTTTCCCAAAACTGCCGTGCTCCAAGAATGCACCACATACCTTCCATGAAGATTATCTGAGATGTGGCTGTGTTCCTTGGCCGCTCTGGTGGGTTTTAACTATGACATTTGGAACAGGATTGACATTGGTAAGAAGATGTGCAAGTTCTTTGTCATCCGCCCGGAGCTATAGTTATCACTAACAGCTCACCCTGGAGTTGTACTCGTGACCCTTTCTTCCCAGGTTTTAAAATGTTAGTGACTGAACGTCCTGTGGAGAGAATTCAGAGGGGAAGGGACGTGAGGAAGAAAAGCCCTCTCATCTTGTTTCTGGGAATGGGGCATGAAGGGAAGAATGTCTGTTATGCTTACGACCTGTGAGGCTTTGAGCAGACACATGAAAAATATAAACACACTCCGACATAATAATGACAGCTTCTTATCCTCCAAAGACTTCAAAGTCTTTTCACATATATTATCTCATTTATCTTCTCAGCATCCCTCCAAAG